ACAGCACTCTACCAAGGGTGACTAAGTGAGACTCTGTCTCAAAAAAAAAAAAAAGAAGGCCTGGTGTGGTGGCTCACACTTGTAATCCTAGGACTCTGGGAGGTGGAGGCAGGTAGATTGCTTGAACTCTGGAATTAGAGACTACCCTGAGCAAAAGCAACATCCTGTCTCTACTAAAAACAGAAAAATTGGGTGGCACCTGTGGCTCAAAGGAGTAGGGTGCCAGCCCCACATACCAGGGGTGGTGGGTTCAAACCCGGAGCCAGCCAAAAACTCCAAAAAAAAAAAAAAAATTGAGGCAAGAAGGATTGTTTGAGCCTAAGAGCTGGCGGTTGCTATGAGCTATGATGCCACAGCACTCTACTGAAGGCGATAAAGTGAGACTCTCTTAAAAAAAAGAAAAAATGACTCTTGAACCCAGGGGTGGTGGGTTCAAACCCGGAGCCAGCCAAAAACTCCAAAAAAAAAAAAAAAATTGAGGCAAGAAGGATTGTTTGAGCCTAAGAGCTGGCGGTTGCTATGAGCTATGATGCCACAGCACTCTACCCAGGGCGACAGCTTGGGACTCTGTCTTAAAAAAAAAAAAGTGGTGCTAATAAATAATACTTGCCCCCTCATGGGTTTTAGTTCCCAAGCAACACGTGTAGGTTAAGTGCTTACTCTTACTCTGGACTGACTTCAGGGTGCCAGTAACCCACTATCTCCCCCTGCCTGGGCAGCCCACTATACCTCCAGCTATAAGATGGTTTCCTTGGGAACCACTTTTTCTTGGCCTCTGAGAGAAGGGAGGAAATAGTTACCCACCACAAATACTATACTCACCTAAATCCCCTTCCACATAGTCTCAAGTTCACTGCAGAGGCATGGGGTTAGGGCAGGGCTGGATCTCCAAGGTCTCCTCCCTGAGCCCCAGTTGTTTGCAGCTTCCTGAATTTGGGCGGAGTGGGGAAGTACTTTGTCCCTCTTGGCCTCAGCTCTGGGCCTAGTCTGCAATTCTGGGAAAATAGGAGACATTCCACTAGACACCCTGTTGGGTCCACAAGAATTACAGACAGTGCTCATTTCAGGTGGTAAGGACTATATACTCTGGCCTGGTCTGGAAGGTGACAGCTACTTTTTCAAGGTATGCAGGGTGGATCTCACCCAAGAGATGATGTTTGAGTTGAAGTAGTTAGGAGAAGAGCTCAGGAAAGAACACTCAGGACAACAGAAGAGCAAATACAAAGACCCTGAGGCAGGAGCAGGCCAGCATCCTAGGAACAAGGCAAGGACAGCAGAGACTGACCAAGGGGCAGGAGTGGGTATAGTGGGAAAGAGGGAAGGGATGTGCTCCAACTGATGCTTCTGGTATGAGGATTACTGGAGGCTGCTTATAGAAAGCACTCAGCCCAGCCTGGCAGGCCAGCGCTGCTCAGCCTGGCACTAGGCAGACATCAAGTAGCTGGGCAGTGTCGGTCTCAACTGGCCAATGCCTGCTCCATCCTACAGGAGGGTGAAGCTATGGGACTGGAACACCCTCTCTGTGTCCCTTCCTACCTTTGACCCTGCAACTTCTTTCCCACCAGGGAAGTCTCCTCCAATGGGCCTTTTTCTCACAATCTCAGGGTACCTATATATGGAAGCAAAGGTTTCTTGAAAAGAAAAATATATATAAGTGGAAACAAGTGATTTCTAGATTTTGTTTTTTTCAATTGAGACAGTCTAACTTTGTCACCTTTGGTAGAGTGCCACCGTATCATAGCTCACAGCAACTTCAAGCTCTTAGGCTCAAGTGATTCTCTTGCCTCTGCCTCCCTAGTAACTAGGACTATAGGCACCAGGCACAACGCCCAGCTATTTTTTTTGTTTAGCAGGTGGGGGTTGGGTTCAAACCCACCAGTCCCAGTGCATAAGGCTGGTGCTCTAACCATTGAGCAACTAGCACCCCACCAAAACAAGTGACTTTCATTTCCCCAGATTGCTACCTTGGTACTGATAACACATATGATCACTGTGCCCTCTGGCCACAGCACCTGTTCCTGACTCTACAAAGGGTGGGACCAAAGGCTCAGGGGCCCTCAAATGGCTACAGAATTGTCCACCCTCCAGGTACCCTTCCCTGGGTAGGAAGTTTGTACAAGTGGGCCCCTCAGCCAGGAACACCCCACAGCAGCTCATGTTCTTACTCTTAGGAAAGCTCAAATAAACACCTAATCTGTCCTCTCCAGTGAATCCCCTGAAGTGTGCCCGCAGGAAGAAGAAGGGGCTGGGGCTAGAGGTTAGGACACCCATGGCTTGCGTTCCATCAAGTACCCATGTGGCTGGGTGGGAGGAGAAAATGGTACAGTGGGACTGGCCTCCACGTGGACAGTGGCTGGAGATACCCAGGGCCAAGCAGGGCACCTCCTGCTCAAGCAGACAAACCCTCACTGCATCTTCAGAGGCTACAGAACACAAATTCCACAATCACTACAGCTTCACATACCTCTCTCCCTCTCCTGAGCACAGACTGACAGTGCAGGTATTTGCTCCACTTTAGAGACAAGGAGATTGCAACACAGAGGGTCCCCAAGCACAGGGAAGACTGATCCCAGTCTGCAGACTCCAGGGTCCCTGGGCTGTGGCCCACAAATCACTGGTGGGGCACAGGCTGCTCCAGGTCCCTCCTCAACAAACTTAGTACCAAACTCCTGCCCCAAACTAACACTCCATGCCTATGAGTCATGAGACCTGATGCATTTCTTACCTCTAAAGTGGGGGATATGATTTCCCAAACAACTGGATTTGCAAACAAACTTTCATGTGACAAAAATTGAACCAGGGGTTTAGGTGATTATATCTT